ATGCTTTCACCTCTGACTGACCTTCAGGCTCCGAACAAGCAGGACCTAAACATTAACTAAGAGTTGTCAACTGCCTGGCTGAGTGTTGAAGGTGTGCCCCAATGCACACACAGAGTCCTTTGATAAAGACAGGGAGACGGTATTTAAGTAAATCTCAGCCCAATCATTAGTTGACCACCACTAAGCTAACTGGCAGACACTTCAGTGGTCACACACAACAAAGAATATAGACTTTACAGAATTAGTTTTTAAAAAGTCTCTAAACAAACAAACAATAACCACCAACCTTGGAGAGGGGGAAAGTATCTGATCTTCCGAGTTGTCACATTAGATTATTTTAAATGTCTAATTTTCAACAAAAGTTATAAGGCATGCAAAGAAACATGAAAGTATGGCCCAAACACAGGGGAAGAAAGGAATCAACAGAAACTATACATGGGAAAACTCTGACTTACTAAACAAAGACTTTATTATTTTAAATATGTTCAAAGAACTAAAGGAAATCACTTCTACAGAACTAAAGGCAGATATGAGGATGATATCTCACCACACAGAGAACAGCAATTAAAAAAAGGTAGAAATTAAATAAGAAAACCAAATAGAAATTCTGGAGTTGAGAAGTATAATAACTGAAATAAAAAGTTCACTGGAATAGCTCAACAGCATATTTAAACATGTGGAAGAAAGAATCAGCCACAGTGAAAACAAGTCAATTGAAATTATCCAGTGTGAGAAACATAAAGACAAAAGGAAGTGAAGGGGCCAGCCTGGTGGCACAGAGGTTAAGTTCACACGTTCTGCTTTAGCAGCCCAGGGTTCGCCAGTTTGGACCCTGAGTGCAGACCTAGGCACTGCTTATCAAGCCATGGTGTGGCAGGCATCCTGCATATAAAGTAGAGGAAGATGGGCATGGATGTTAGCTCAGGGCCAGTCTTTCTCAGCAAAAAGAGGAGGATTGGCAGCAGATGTTAGCTCAGGGCTAATCTTCCTCAAAAAAAAAAAAAAAAAGGAATGAGGAAAAATGAATAGAGCTTCAGAGATCTGCGGGATTTCATCAAGTGTACCAACATGCACATATTGGGAATCCCAGAAGGAGAGGAGAGAGAGAAAAGGGTAGAAAGAATACTTGAAGAAATGATGGCTGAAAACTTCCCAATTTTGATGAAAAAGATGAAGCTCATCAAACTCCAAGTATAATAAACTCAAAAGAGATTCAGCCTGGACAGATCATAATCAAACTGTCAAAAGCCAGGAAGAATCAATCTTGAAAGCAGCAAAAGAAGCGACTCATTACATACATAGAGGATCCTAGTAAGATTAACAGCTGCATTTCTTAGCAGAAACCATGGAGGCCAGAAGGCAGTAGGATGAACATATTCAAAGTGCTGAAAGAAAGACTATCAGTCAAGAATTCAGCATCCAGTAAAATTACCCCTCAAAAATGAGGGAGAAATTAAGACAGTCTCAAATAAGCAAAAACTGAGAGAGTTCATCATTGGTAGATCTGCCCCATCAAGAAATAATAAAGAGAATCTTGAGCCAGCCTGATGGCCTAGTGGTTAAAGTTCGGCGCGCTCGACTTTGGCGGCCTAGGTTCAGTGCCGGGGCACAGAACCACACTACTCGTCTGTAAGTAGCCATGGTGTGGTGGAGGCTCACGTGGAACCAGAGGAACCTACAACTATATGCAACTATGTACTGGGGCTTTGTTGGGGAAAAACAAAGGCAAAAAAAAGGAGGAAGATTAGCAACAGATGTTAGCTTAAGGTGAATCTTCCCCTGCCAAAAAATTTAAAAAAAAAAAAGAAAAAGAAAGAAATAATAAAGGGAATCTTTCAGCCTGAAATGAAAGAACACTAGATAGTAAATCAAATCCAAATGAAAAAATAAAGAGCACCATGAAAAGTAACTACATAGGTAAATATAAAGAATAGTATAAGTGTGTTTTTGTTTGTAACGTTTTTTTTTAACTTAAAACACAACTGCACAAAGCAATAATTATAAATCTGTGTAGATGGGCATACAATGTATGAAGATGTATGTTTTATGACAATAACAGCACAGAAGATGGGAAGGGGAAGGGAATGGACCTATGTAGGAACGAAGTCTGTATATACCATTGAAATTAAGTTGGTATTAATCTGAACTAGATTGTTATAAATAAAGATGTTAATTGTAATCCTAGGGCAATCACTAAGAGAATAACTCAAAGAAATATAATAAGAGGAACAAGAAGGAAATTAAAATGGTACACCAGAAAATATCATTTTAACGAAAAAGGCATTAGTCATGGAGAAATAAAGAATCAAAAAGAGACATAAGACATATAGAAAACAAATGGCAAACTTAAATCCTACATTAACAGTAATTATGCTAAATGTAACCAGCTTGAACACTCTAATTAAAAGTGGACATTAGTAGGATGGATTAAAAAAACATGACCTAACTACATGCTATCTACAAGAGACACACTTTAGACTAAAGATACAAACAGGTTGAAAGTAAAAGCTTGGAAAAAGACACATCATAAAAACAAAAACCAAAAGAGAGCTGGGATGGTTATACTAACATCAGACAAAATATACTTTAAGACAAAAATTGTCATTAGAGACAAAAAAGAGCATTTACAATGATAAAAGGCCAATACAGTTATGAGAAATGCATTGTCATCGTGTGAACATCATAGAGTGTATTGACACGAACCTAGGTGGTACAGCCTACTACACACCTAGCTATATGCTACTAATTTTATGGGACAACCAACATAAATGCAGTCCGTTGTTGACTGAAACATCCTTATGTGGGGCTTGACTGTATATCAAGAAGATATAAAATTATAAACATATCTACACTTAACAACAGAGCTCCAAAATACACAAAAGCAAAAACCGACAGCGTTGAAGGGATAAACAGACAATTCAAACATCATAGTTAGAGACTTCAGTATCTCACTTTGAATAATGGATATGACAGCTAGACAGAAGACCAACAAGGAAATAGAAGATGTGAACACACTATAAATCAACTAGGCCTAAGAGGTATTTATAGAACACTCCATCCAACAATAGCAGAATACACATTTTTCTCAAGTACACATGGAACATTCGCCAGGATAAAGCACATGTTAAGTCAAATGAAAATACAACAGAAAAAACTTATGGGGGGCTGGCCCCATGGTGGAGTGGTTAAGTTTTACACACTCCGCTTCAGCGGCCCAGGGTTTTGCCAGTTTGGATCCTGGGCACAGACATGGCACCTCTCATCAAGCCATGCTGAGGTGGCGTCCCACATAGCACAGCCAGAGGGACCTACAACTAGAATATATAACTATGTACTGGGGGGCATTGGGGAGAAGAAGAAACAAAAAGATTGGCAACAGTTGTTAGCTGAAGGCCAATCTTAAAAAAAAAAAAAATATATATATATATATATATATATACACACACATATATATAAATAAAACTTATGGGATATAGAGAAAGTAATACTTAGAGGGAAATTTGTAGTTGTAAAATGTCTCAAATCAATAACCTAAACTTCCACTTAAGAAACTAACAAAAGAGCAAACTAACTCCAGAGAAAGCAAAAGGAAGGAAATAATAAAGATTAGAGTGAAAATTAATGAAATAAAGAAAAGAAAAAACAATGAAGAAAAATAAGCAAAGCAAAAAGTTGGTTTTTTAAGATTAGTAGTTTCCAAGGACTGGGGGGTTGGGGGGGGGGGTATGGGAAGTGACTACTAACGGGTATTAGGGTTTTTCTTGGGAGCGATGAAAATGTTCTGAAATTAGACAGTGGTACGGTTGCACAACCTTATGAATATACTAAAAACCACTGAATTACACACTTATAAAAAAAAGGAACAGTAGATGGCTTCAAAATCTGCAAGAGGATTATTTTCAATCTAGAATTCCATGTCTGAACTTAAATATTGGGAAAATGACAACTGAGGCTGGGTCGGGGAGAAGAGGTGGGGAGGCTCCAAGAGAGCTGACTCTTTAGCTACCACAACAGAGAGCTAGTATTTGCTGTTTAAAACTTTAAAATTTTAGAAATCGTAATATCAGAATACTACTTAAAAATATAGCAATAAATCCCAGAAGAAATAACCAAAAGATTCTCTCTGGGTACTGCCTCCCAAACGGCCAAGAACTGACACATTTGATTTTTATCCTCTCTGCATTTATTACTTTAAAACAAAATTTAAAATGATAATTTAAAAAAGAGAAATGTCATCATACTCTAAGAAACTGGGCCACCTGAACAATGTAGTGGAAAAGGCCTGGGGAACAAGTTGGAGGAGCTGATTTCATGTCCCATGTCATTTATTCACTAGGTAATCATGAGCTAAGCATTGTGTCTTAGTTTCCTCATCTGTAAAATTAAGAATAAAATTAGCTGTGCTCCTATCTAAAAAGCTGTTATGAGAATCAAGTGAAACAATCAAAATAAAAGTAGATTGAAAAGCAGTGCGTAAAAATGAAAAATTAAACACTATCTAGATAACTCTAAAATACTCAAATATTTTATTTTATTTATTTATTTTTCCTGCCCAAAGCCCCAGTACCTGGTTGTATACCCTAGTTGTAGGTCATTCTAGTTCTTCTATGTGGAATGCTGCCACAGCATGGCTTGATGAGCAGTGCGTAGGTCCATGCCCAGGAACTGAACTGGCGAACCCCAGGCCACCAAAGCAGAGCACACGAACTCAACCACTCAGCCACGCGGCCGGCCTCGGTACTCAAATATTTTAAATTTTACTTATCAAAGTGGATACTCATGATTACTGCTAAATTGTCTCCACGATTTACTTTAACTTGAATCATCTGGATTAGGGACTGGAATAGAAACAGACTCAAGGGATAATTCCATAATCTGCGATACAAATGAAGCAACGTGCTTATTAGCTATTAGGGACATGATTTCCTTCTCCTAAGAAAATTATGTCTTCTGGAAATTACGCTCATGCTTTACATCAATTAAAAAAAAAAAACACTTACCTTCACAGTCAAATCCTCCTTACCCAGTGTGACATGGACTTGAATAGGTGGGTAAACACCTTTGTCAGCATAGTGTTCCATCGTTGCTCTCATTGCGTTCTGAAATACATTAGCCTTACATCAAAAATACAGCTTTAAAGAAAGAGAAAAACTAACTGTAATTTTCAAGTACACATGCACTACTTGAAATTTTAAAAATTTTAATTCAATGGAAAAATGTCAAAGAATCATAATCCTTATAACCAGATTAAAAGAATTACTTTTTAAAAGACATTATTAAGTCAGTTTTGGAGGACCTGAGATTTTTGATTTAAAGATTCCAACTAAATTCTGCATATTTTCCAAAACCAGACATCTCAACGCTTTTAACTATTTACATTAGAGCAAAAATTCTATTCAAATACTTTGATAATTTAGTAGATAAGAGGCAAATCTTATTTTTGAAAACAGTTTCATCTCTATTTTTAAGACCCATTTTAATTGTCTTAAGTTGCTTTAAAAAAATATTTTTTTCAATATAACTAACAGCAATGGTCTTATTATGATGTAGAAACTAACCCAATTTACCACTAGTTTGAAACTAAGGATATTTACATTGTAAAACTCTTTTGATCAATTTCTAAAGGATACAGGGTACACAATGTCAACATATCATAAGCACTAAAAGACAACATGGCATGTAGCATTGGAGTAGAAATTGATAAGACTAGATACAGTTAAAAAGGCAAAAGACGGGGCTGAATTTGGAATTAAGAGCGTGTGGCCCTGGCACACCAATCAGGATTGAGGATCCCTGAGGAGGAGATCCTATCACCTCTACCAGGGCCATTTAAGATTGGGTTCCAGATGGAAGCATTATTATTGACATTATGTAAAACCTCTTCTATATATGGTAATATTTCTTTTATTATGCATCATAGGAAACAAGACCTTTATGTGACTGAAATTTCAAGGAAAAATTCAGTTTTAATCCTTTAGGTGCCAATTGTTCATTTATTTAACCACTTTGACAGAAAGATTTTTGTAAGGTATTAGATAGTTCTCGCGGTCCTAGAGCAAAAGCGCATTCTTGAACCTTTGCTGTTCTAAAACAGTCGGTCAGTTTCTCTGTTTCAGTGTATTTTTCTTTTTCAAGATCAGGCTGAAGGCCACCTCTTCTCTCTTGTAGTTTGCTGCTGGCCAAAGATATGGTAACTAAAGTAAGAGAGACTACAGGCTTGATTTAGGGTAGTCATTTTCAGTCACAGAGACCCCTACCACCCCTCATCACTCACTTTCCTGTCTACCAGTCAGGGTTGCTGGTGTGCTATCGGGGGAATAAAAAAGTACTCAACATCACTAGCATAATTTTACCTAGTTTTCGAAATTTGTTGTGAAGAGCAAATATAATAGCAGAAGCCCTGGAAGTCAATATAAGTAACTTTCTCCAAAAAGAAAAGCATATAACAGTGGGACTCTGGGCCTTTAAAGGTGGAAAGTAGAGGAGCCCTCTTCTAAATATTTTGTATTGTAAAAATACAAACACTTTATGGAGCACCAATAATCTGCTGCCACTGTACTGGACAGTAAGCATGTTATTCCCAGTCTTCGTAATAACCTAGGAGGTATTATCCTCATCTTACAGAAGAGGAAACTAAGGCTCAGAAGGGTTGAGTGACTTGGCCAAGGTCACACACACATAAAGTAGCAGAACTGGAATTCAAAGCCAGGTCTCTCTGACTCCAAAGTCTGAGCTTTATCATCACACTGAGGTGCCCATCAGTGTTGACAAAAGGCTGATCTCCAGAACGTGATGTGACACTGAACATGAAATGACATCTTTTAATGAAACTGAGGAAAACCCAGCAGGAAACTTTCAGAGATTCCTAACCTCAGGAAAGGATGGATAAAGGTTATGTAATACTATTTTACAAACCTTGAAAAGTTCAAACACCATGTGATAGAGATGGGATGGTACATAAACCACTTGTATTGGTTGTCCTGGTGATTTTGCTACAGAGCAGAAGAGAAAAATATAAAAGTACAGAGAGATGTGCTTAAAGCATTTTTAAGAATAAACTGTGTAGTGATGAAAAGAAAACATTTACTACGGAGGATAGTATTATTTGGGAGAGAACTGCCACACCAGTTCTTCACGGTACTAGTGTTTGAACCCCGTTCACATAGATTTTTGACAGTGAGAACACGAGTCCTGTAGTCACTCCTGCAATCCTGCATAACAATCTAACCAACTCATCTTCCATTCTTCTCTATGATGTGAGTCTTTTTAAAGGAAATTCAACCTTAAGGTCAGAATTTTGCTTTCCAAAGAGAAGTATGAAAGTCTATAAATACCATAGTCCAACTCACCTAAATACATTCTTTTTTTAAAAGGCTATTTTTTAAATGTTTCACCCAGGTGAAATGGTTTCTGTTTTGTTTCAGGCATTTCTATGGCTATAGATCTGAATAATAAATTTAAGCCAGCATCAATTTATCAAGGATACTAATCCTACATTCAAACATTTAATAGGAGCCAGTTGTGGATGGAGGGCAGATAGTGTGTAAAATAAAACCTTTAGTAGAACAAAGGAGTAAGACTCACCATTAGAATTCTAATAAAACCAGTAAGTTGGACTCTCCTCTGAATAAACTGCCCCTTGGAAACATGGATGGGACATCTAGAAACAACCTACAGTTCAGGTTTCCAAACTATCACTTGTGCATTGTGACTCTTATTTACTGAATGGTACCATTACGGACCAAAAGAGTTAATATGGCTCTAGAAAAAAAACAAGCAATTGTAACTTCTTCCACTGCTCTCTTACTATAAGTTCCAGAATACAGCTAAGTAAAAGCCTATTTAATTTTATTCTTTTTAAAGGGTCATCTTAACTTAGGAAATGTTTTTCCCTCTACCAACCTACCCTACCTTTAGGAAAAACAGTGAGATTCATCAGTCTCCTTCCAAAGCATTAAAACCTTTTTTGTCCAAAAGGCACTACTCAGGGTGAAAAGAAGATGGTCAGAGATAAACAGATTCTCAAACAGACGAGCATCTTTCTTCCTTCTTTTACACCTCCAGTCTTTCTACTTCCTCAACAACAAAAAGTAATTTACAACTCAGGAAGTAGAAATCTTAAAGGGAAAACTTTACATTATTGAAGAGCATATAAAAGTCAAATGTAATTTTCTTGGCATAATTTTCTTCTATGACTAACCAGAAAATCAAAAACAAGCAACGAATCAATATTATCAACTGAAAATAAGGAAAATGGGAAAGAAAAAGCCAAAATGTCTTTCAGAAAGAATCCAACTAAATTAAATATATATAACACACATATTTTTTAACATCATTGCTTTCCCTCAGCTTTCATATCCAATGAAGAAGTTGATGAAAAGTCCTTTTACATTAAAACAAATCTAAATTCTTCTAATTATTCCCTCTCAGGTAATCATAACACGAATCACTGAGGAAAAGACATCAGGCTTACCATTCAGTTCTTCAAGTTCTAGTTCAGGAGAGTTAATATAATACAAATCACACAGACGCCTAGCATTTTCATAGCCATCTAGTGTGAATCAAAACAAAAAAAGCATTAAATTTACTTTTGGGTCATGCATTAAGATGGCAATAGTACTGATAAATAAAATTTTAAAACTTTCTAGAGAAGAAAATATACTTTAATAATCCTAGTTTGCGGAAGGTCTCTTTAAGTATGACATGACAAAGCCTAACAGCCATAAAGGAAAAATGACAGATGTGATTACAACAGAATAAAAACATCTGTATGAAAAAAGGTACCACAAAGTAAAAAGAAAAACAACAGGCATAAGAAAATATCTACAGTAGATACAGCAAAAATTTAGAATTGGTAAGGGTTTAGGAAGTAGATACCCTCATTCATTGCGTGACACCTTTCTGGAGGTATCAAAATTTTATATGCACTTTAAATGTTTTCAATCCTAGGAGTCTACCCTCTAAAACACTAGCAAAAGTCAGCACACAGCTAAGGATGTTCACTGCAGTAGTGTTGGTAACAGAAAAAAAAAATAACCTAAATGTGCCTGAATAGGAGGATGGATTAATTCTGATTAATTCTGAATTATTCTGATTATTAATTCTGATTATTCTGATATGTCCATATAGCCGTTCAAAACCTGGGGTATATCCATCTGTACTAAACATGGTAAGATGCCTGTAAACTTGTAGAAAAATATACATAGAGTACCCCATTTTCCAAAAACAACAATGTAAGACCGACAATTATGCATGTGTCCGAGTACAGGCAGTATAAACAGAAAAAAGTATGGAAAGAAGCAAACCCAACTATTATGAATTATGCCTCCTAGTGTAGGGAACTAGAAAGTGGGGAGGGGGGAATTGAATTTTTTTTTGAAGTGAAACAGATACTCTCATAGTATCACCATATTTTGCTTAACAAAGCATTGTACCAACAAAATATTCATTCCACACGTAATACACAATTAACATTATGAAGTTATTTTCAAATCCATGCATTTGCTCCTAACATTTTATCTCATGATATAAATAGTTGTTTTAATAGCAAAAAATAACACTAAACAATTTTAATTTTTGCATCCTTTCTAAAAGGAGGAATGTAAGTATTTACCTTTAATAACTTCAACTACATTGCAGTTCGGATTTATGCTTCCAATGTGTTTTCGATGAGATGGGCTTCCTTTGCCTTTCCCACCAAACAATAAAGCTATCAAGAATAAAAAATAAAAACCAAACAAAATAAGCTAAACTACCAAATGCCCTTTTCCAGACGTGAATACAGTTTCTCTAAATGGCACCCAACAGTAGAACAAATATTTTCCTTAAACATAAACACAGTATTTTACATTCAATAAAAACACCTTTGTATGGCAGTCTATTTTATTTTCTTAATATGCAAAAAAGTAAAATAAAATGTTTACTAAAGGGAGGCTTTCTAAATAAATTTAAAATATACCAACACATTTTATTTAGCTTCTTCTCTTGACTTCCAGACACTTACAGTGCTGATTGAGTAACATTCGAATTGAAATGCGACTCATGTAGAATCGATCCAGAAAGTACTGAACATTCTGGCTGGTGACAGGATCCACCCCGAAGCTCTCTTTGTATTCAATCACACCCTGGGCCATCGTGGGAATAACATCATTGTGTCGGTTCCTGATCCGTATCACAGCGTCTGTAAAGCTAAACAAACCTGTCTGTCAAAACAGCCAAATATTTTGACAAGTGAATTTAATACTAAAGTCTAAGTTCAACCAACTATACTAGGCAAGAAATTCTCAATTCAGTTAAAGGCGCTTCAGTGCATGTTTTCCTACACTTATTTAAAATATATCTCAGACTATAAAATACATGGAATCTATGAAAGTATAAGGACTTCCAAAACAAAACTTTTGAAATTTAATTATTTTCTTGGAACTCCTAAAAGTAAAGCTGCCATGAAACACAATCCTAAAAATGTTAAGGGTTTTCCTTAACCATTATCAACTAAGAGCATCTGAGCACTCACTATGAGGATGGTATTCCAGGGACATTCAGCATAAGACAGAGCTCTTCCTTCTAGGAACACATGCTCTGTAAGGAATGAAGATGAATGAGCCAAGAAAGCCTGTCTGTTTTGGAACTATTCCCTAGGGTTCAAAGAGAGAAAGAACCACTTAGAACAGAAAAGTAGAAAAGAATTCTAATTTCATTCATCTTATGAGTTCAAAAAATGCGAGAGGAAAAGTAAGACCATTGTGTTAAAAGAAAAAATTTTCAAATTATCCTGCCTTTTCATTTCTCTCATTTAGAAGATATTATTGCATGGTTAAAGAACTAAATAAAAGAGGAAAGAAGTCTTAATTATGAAGTAATAAAATCCATCTTGTAACATACGCATCAGAATTTACACTTGCGAACGAGTGCTTTCCCATTCAAAGTCATCATCTTGAGTACTATTCACTTACTCTGATGATGCTCTCACTACTCAAGACAATTTTGGAATTCCTAGTTTGTAATCAGCTTCAAAACCAAACTGTTAATCCAAAATACAAACAAGAAAACTCCTCAAAAACAACAAACAACTCATCATTTCTGGGCACCCCTTCATTTGTTTATTTCACCTCTCTCTCTTTTGAAAACCAAAACCAGTACTATTCTGATTGGCTGCTCACCTTATATTCTAGACTCAGCTCTGAATGACTTACCCATTTTCAGAAGGTTCTACAGCATAATGTTTACTTTTAAGCAAGACTGCTTGGGTCCAAATCCTGGTCCCACCATTTGCCGGCTACGTGACCTTAAGGCTACTTTAAGTTACTTAACCTCTTTGTGCACACACAGCATTACCTCAACTGAGTTGTTTGAAAGATTAAAGGACATCATTCGTGTAAAGTGTGCTCCATACCTATGCAGAGAGTAAAGTCTAATGCTATTTTCAGATCAAAATCGTGTTGAAAAAATGAAATGCTGCCATCATCTTTAAAGATAGTCAAAACAATGTGGAATAGACTCTGAGGAAAACAAAAGAGGTCGTCTTTCAGTTCTGAGCAACATTCATTGGAATAAGCAGGTAACTTCCTGAGGGGACTACTGGTTATCAAACTGATCACATTACTTAGATGGTCTTAGAGATCACAGGTCACAAACTGGAACCCACAGATGTGTTTTTATAGGCCTCCAGTGTCTTTAAAAACTTTTAATTAGATGCCGATCTTTCAAAATTGGGAGATTTTACATTAAAAATCCAGACTTGTGGCTTTTCTTTAACCACACAAAAACATCGGATGATCTGGGCAGCATTCTTGCATAGCCACAGTCAGGTTGAGCTGAAGGTGGCTGTCCTTTAGAAGCACGTACTCTCCAGGTTAAAAGGCCTCACCAGTTCCCTACCATCCAAGTGGCACTGAGGCCACATCTGGATTTCCACTGATCATCACACTTGAAGGTGTCTTTTCCTATGGTAGGGCAATGAGGGACATGAGGCATTTTGTATACCCAGCCCAATTCACTGATTCATGTCACCTGCCTCACCTGTATGGGCTGTTATAGATAAATATACTACTATGTGTTCTAGAGTAGTGGGAAGCAAAAAGTTCATCAGTTTCCCCAAAGTGACCCAACAGCAGTTTAAGCTCAATACATCTACATTTTTATATGATGTTTAAAGAGTATAAAAATTGTGTTCAGAATAGGGTCAAAACAGCGTACTTACTCATCAATAGTTTTAGCATCTTCAGCACTTTTGTCCTTAAAATCAAGAAGCTCCTGAAGACTCTGGATATACCTAAAATGCAAATCAACAGGGCGAATTGGTTCTTTTACACTTTTAAAGTTCAATACTGTAAGAATACTCAAAAGGCATTTTTAATATTTCTTAATTTCTAATTTAGAATAGTGCCAGAAATTATGATTTTAGTAGTTTTACATCCATTCATAGTTGAGCAAAGCGCCCAACACAAAGTAGTAGAAAATACATGTTTTCTTCTAAAAACATAGGCTAATTTGATTTAAGAATTTTAAGATTTCCTACTGCTTTTTTTTTTAAGTTCTATACTCTAAAATAGTTTTCCAATTTCTTAAATTTACCCCTGTACATTGCAGTATAAATACTGACTGTCATCAGAACTGAGTCTGTCATCAATAACTGTGTGCTCTGGGAAAAATGACCTAACTTGTCTTAGTCTCAGTAAAATGGGGAGGCCAGTCTACCTTTGTCTAACAGCCTAATTTAAACATCTGTACTTTAAAACCTTAATTTTAGAGGTTTATGTCTAATCAACAAATATTTGTTGAAAGCCTACAATTTACCACATAGTTCTTTTAAACAGAACTGAACAAAAACAAAAGTCATGAAAATGTCTGTTTTTAATTTACCTTACAATGCAACGTAGCAAAACACCTGTTAAGGAAGGAGCAGGAGGAAAGCCAAATGACTTTCTCAAGGGCATGCCTTTCCCAAGGCCACGCCACCAGGCACAATGGCAGGGCGGGCCGGAGCTAAAAACACCACCCTGCCATTCAACGACCATCAACGGTGTAAGGTCTGCCCTGGCTCGTCTGTTCGCGCTTTACCTACTGCCAACTGCCCTAACTCAGTAGGCACCCAGGGCCAGTGCAAGCGTGCTAAGATTCTGCAAATCCACATGTTGGTTTGGAAAGCTGTTCCTGGCAAGCAGTGGGCCTCTCTGTCAAGTGATTCTGGTGTCTACCGTTTTTCTTTAACCCTTACTTTTCTCTTCATTGGCAAGAAAAACTAGGCTCTTTATTCAAGAGATATCTGAGTACATACAACGTGTTGGCACAGATCAGATTTGAAAATGCAGCATATTCTATTTTTAAAGAAGAATTTAAAAAACCAGGAATAAGCCTCCACAGAAAATTATATGTCTCCTTTATCCTCCAGCGTAGTTACACTATGTTTATGACTGTTCCGTATGTGGAACAGACAGCATCTGATTATCATACGTACTGCAGTCATACTGTTTTTGCTTATTTTTAAAAACTGATGTTAGATCAGCTTCTCCCACAAACTACAATGCCTACAAAAGGAAAGTTAGGCTCTCCATGAACCATAATTGTGAAATGTCTTGCAGCTAAATTATTTTCATTTAAGACTGAACTCTAGCTAACTATTTTGCTTGAAATGGACAGTGCTTAAGAGAATAACACTTTTAAATTAAAAACATTAACAAAAAAGGCTGTATATAGGTGGCCACATGCATCCACACCCTTAATACCTCCACTGTCGTTTTTTGGAAAAGAGATCATAGTTTCTATACAATTCCAATAACTTCTAATTGTTTAAACACGGCAGAATAAAAATTTTAATTTTTGTGATGTATAAAGATATATTTCAATGGAACAAACTACACCCTTTAATACATTTCATCATTCTGACTACAGTATGGTAGAAACAAACAAATCTGGGTTTGACTCCCGGCTCCACTATGAGTGGTACTGCCTTAGGCAAAGGTCTTCGCCTGTAGGTGCCTCAGTTTCCTCATCTGTAAAACAGAGATAATGCCTACCAGGCAGGGTTATTGGCGGGATTAAAGGTAACGCATATAAATCCCTAGCCATTAACAAATGGTAGATATTTTTATTATATTATAACATAACATTCCTGCAGATTTAATAACAAAATTCTCAAATTTACTGTATTTCTGTGCCGTTCTGATCGGTTTTTTCAAAACCGAGGAGTGGAAGAAACCAGGATTCAGGGGACAAGCCCAGACACGTGCCCAAAAAGGAGGAATGCTGCTACTACCTTAAGATTCCACTGAAGATTTAAAAAAAAGTATTTGCTCTAACCTTGAGTAAAGTTCACAACTCCACTGAAATTGCAAACACAAGACGGGAATCTTACCAGCTTTGCACCAGTTGAACCGAGGGAGTCCTGAGAAGATTATCTGGAAGAAGACTTATTTCTTTCATTATATTTGCCAATCTAACAGGTAACTCTTGCCGCAGAAACATAAATGAGGTCTTCTCACAAGCATTCACAGATCCTGAAACCAAACATGGTGGGAACAGAAGTAAGCAGAAGCCATGAGGCAGCAGAAGCCGAGAGGCACGGAGAACACAGGGGGAGTTCTCTGGCAAGGGTGGCAGTTCCACCATAATGACAGGACGAGGAGGCAAGGGACGGGATAACCAGTCGCCAGGGTTGTGAGGCATCCTGAATGACCTTCCAATTCCTGACGTTCCAACCACCTTGCAGAGCAATGAAGGCACTCTCCCCATCTCCATTACTTGCAACCGTACTGTGATCTCACATCTTAGAACAAAGGCACCCCAAGCAAGTCTGAGCAAGGGGCAGAGTCTAATTAACAGTAGGACCTGCAAAAGCCTATTCTATTTAACCTGCCATCATTCAGAAAATCTGTTTCCTAACTCGAGGTTTATGAGAAGTGAATACCTGTCTAAGAAACAGAGAAATTTTGATGTGTGCATAGGAACCATACTAACTACCAAAAGTAAAGAGGAAATGTAGAGAAGGGCTCCTAGGCCACAGAAAGCAAACAACACCAATGCCTGTTCAGCAACCATCTTCAAGCTTCTCCCCTCGCAGGTCCTATTCTATGGATGCCTGGAAAGCAACCTTCTCTTCCTCCACTCCTACTTCCTCCACTCCTGCATCAGGATGCTAAGCAGAACAGTAGTAAAATGTCCTCTGGCAAGCAGTTAAACTGCAATGCATTTTAAACTCACTAATTTAATTTTGCTGTTTTAGCAAGAGACAATCTGAGCAAAAACTAGATTATCAACAGCAGGAATTACAGCATTAGAGGAATATATTTTCTTGTGAAAGTTTAATGGCCTACTTGTGAACAAGGCCCAATCCACCCCTTAATCACACTAAAGTTATTTTAAAGTAAAAATAAAAACCGAGGGCTTTGAGTCAAACAAATTTGCCACTGTAAGCCGCAATTTTAAGATAAACCGGCCAGCCATGCTGGTATCTTTTAAGCCCACCAGTGATCTGCTAGTGACCTAACAGCACTTACAATGCACAAGATAACTTTTTCTACTCAAATTTAATGAGTTTATTAGAGTTTTCCCTTTTCCCTTTGGCACTCCCATATGAGAAGTCAAAGTTAAATACCTAACTTTGCAATTCCTTGGCCATCGGTTGCATCCTTTCTAGAGAAAACCAGGAAGCACCCATAAGAGGAAGAAGAAAGTGGATGCTCGTTTCTACAGGGGTGAAATGCGGTCAACCCCACAGCATCTTGCACTTCTGCACGTTACCCGTGCTCAAGACTTATTTGCTGCTGCTGAAAGGAATGTGCTGTTGGTGGAAACTCTTAAGCAAGTAGCAAGGAAAACATTCTCTGGAACATTTGGGCAAGTTATAACCTGCTTCCCCTATCATCACGCCAGTTGTAAGCAATCATCATATACAAAACTGAGCATTTCTCATCACTCTGCAGAATCCGAACACGACTCCCGGCGGAGTCCACACACTTGCCTCTCGGTGGAGCTCTTCGGAAGGGGCCTGGCAGCGAGCACGGATCGCACACGTGCGCCGAAAGGCGGGAGGTCACTCCACCCGCGGCCCTCCCGGTTTGTTTTTCAACAATACACGGTAAAAAGGCACACGCCCCGGGTTACTTACCCGGCCTGCCTGCGCCCGCACCTGAGCTTAAGGATGTGTCCGCGCGGGAGGAACGAAGCACCTAAGGCGCCGGGGTGGACGTTAAGGAGGAGGGGGGCCACGGAGAGGGGAGGGGGCCAGCGCGGGCCGGCCGCCGCTCCCCGCCAGGGCCGCGCACAAAGGCCCGAGGCCCGGGTGCACTCACCGAAGTCCAGGAACTGCTTCATGGAGAGCGGGGAGGGCGAGAAGCGCGCGTAGAAGTCCACTTGGCCCGGAATGCCACCTTCGGGCGCCGGGCCCGAGCCCGAGTCCGAGGTGAGGCTGCGGCTGGCGCCGGGGCGGGCTGCGCGCAGCGCGGAGCCCGGGCCGGCCGAGGCGGCTCCGCGCAGCAGCCGCGCCAGCCTCATGCCGAGCCCGCCGGAGGAGCCCGCGCCCCCGGCGCGTGGTCGCCGCTCGGCGCCGCGGCCGGGCAGTACGTGAGGGACGTGGCGGGCCGCCGGGGGGAGCGGCTGTCACCGCCGCGGCCGCCGCCCCCAGCGCGGCTGGGCTCGATCCAGGGAGGCGGGAGGGGGCGGGGACGAGGGCGGGCGCGAGGGGGGCGGGGAGAGCGCGGGGCCCGCCCCCGAGCCAAAATCCCGCCCCCGCGCCTCGGCCCCCGCCCGCGAGAGGGCCGGGCGGGCGCGCGCAGGTGTGGTGGCGGTAAGCCGCGGGTACGGGAGGAGGCTGGGCTGCGGGGGCGCCTCCCCAGTCCCAGGCTGGCCCCGCCGCCCCGCCGGACCACCTGCGGGTGGCCGCCGCGACCGCAGGCTGCGGAGTCGCGCTAGCCATGTGGTGCGCCCCCTTCCCACGCCCTTTTGGAACAAAGGCACCTTCCTTCTTCCTCTGCCCGCGCAGCCTCAGCCAAAAGGCTCAAGTCCGGGGCCGCGCTCCGCTTCCACACACTGCGGTCTCCCGCCGTGAGCGTGTTCCAGAAACTCCTCTGTGATGCAAGCCCATATTTTAAAGGTGAAGAGACTGAGACCCCCTGGAGCTTCAGAGCCGAGCCTTCTCAAACAGTGGGACATAAATAGGAATGGTGAACAGTGGAGAGTGTGGTCCTAAATAAGATCACAGCGACTCCTGTCCCAGAGAAGATGATTGGCAGCCCAACTGGAAGCGTTATGTCCAGGCATTCTCGGCATGGTCACAGTGTATTTAAAGGGTCCTTCCACTCTGACTGCCCGCCCTTCTCTGTCTTCTTAGCGTCCCAGTTTGCTCCTTCCTTTCCAGGTTTCTAAATAGTGCATATATGACTATCTAGTCATATCTAGTGTTGATTTAATCCCATAGAGCTGTGAGGGCTGCAGTCTACAATGAAAATCACTGCTGCCCCTCGTCCACTGCTTCACCCCCAGTGCTTTGGCTTAGGTGATGTCTCAGATGCAACAAAATTACTTTTCCTTAGGTGTGTAGTTTATCAATTAAAATATATATATATATATGTCTGTCTTCAGCTGTTACTGGTATAAAATAATTCATTTCTCCATGGTGGTCAAGTCTTGGGTTCTATAAAAATATGATATGTATAAAGAATGAGTTGAGTCTCTTTTTAGGGTGTATTAGTCCCACGAGTTTGGCCTGAAGGAGAACGTTGACTACCTGGAAACGAGTGTAGGTAGTTGAGGGGATGGGGTGGAAGCAGCAATTGGACACATTCTCTGAAGGTGGTGCCTCTAACAACTTTTATAGGTATCTGCTAACGTCGTGGTTATGATTTTGGTAAAAACATGTTAGAGGAAACAGCGTGACATAAGACTATGACATATGCAGAGAAAGTAATCAGAGGGTGGTATCTGTTTATGTGCTTGCTGCGCCATCAACCATACTCTGTAACTGCCAAATCTGGCCTGCCTTCATCCATTCTATAAATATTTGTGAATGCCTACAGTAGGTACCAGGTAATGTTCTAGGTGGCTGGGAATAAAACCACATGCAATTCAGATAAAATCCCTTTCAGATACACCTGCTCTTACAAAGCATATGCTGTAGGGTCCAACATGGTAGAAAATTTACACCATCTCTTCAAGTATTAGAGAGCCTGCTCTCTGAAAGGATTAGGTTTGTTCTGAATGGCCCAGACACCAGATGGAAGACCTGTGGGTGGAAACTGTAGGGAGGCAGATTGACTCACACATGGAAAATTTTGGATGGTTACAGCCGTTTGACTGTGAAATGGGCAGCCTTAGAGGAACAGGGAGTTCTCGTCAATGGCTGTTAGAGTCTAGAGGACAGCTTTATAAGGGCACTGTGGGGAGGGTTTGGGGGAAGCCGTGTGGTGTGATGAAAAGAGCCTGGCTTCTGGTTTCAGATACTGGCTCTGCCATGTAGTGGCCAGGTGGCCTTGAGTGAGTTACTTAACCTTTCTGAGCCTCAGCCTCCTTACCTAAAAAGGGGAAATAATATCTGTCTTACCGGGTGACTGTGACATAGTCTAGCTATCTTGTTAGCACAATGCCCAGGACATACTAGACACTCAATGAATGGCCTCTATTTCTTATCATTATTGCTGTATTTTATTATTTCCTTATTAGGATTCTATCAGAACCACTCACACATGTTTTGCCTGAAGTCAGTTTTACTGAAGGTTTTGGAGAAAACAATTAAAAATTAGACCTCCTTAAAATTATTTCCTCAACCATTTCCCACAACTCTGCTCCAGCCTCCCTTCATGTTGCCTTCCTCCTTTCCTCTCTCCTTCCTTCTAGACCACTGCCTGAGGTCCAAATTCTTCTCAACTATCATGCACAGTAGTATTCAGCTCCCTCAAGTTCTCTTTGCAACTCTGCTGCTTTCCACCTGAGCATGTCAAGGTGCTCAGCTAAACATTAACGTGTGTGGAAGCAGAAGGCCCAGCAGAAAGCTTGAGATTCATCTGGCAAGTTCATTCTCCCAGAAACCAATCCAAATGTTTTATAAGGTGTTTTTTCTTTTCTCCAAAGTATATTCACCAAGCTTCCACCCAATACGCAGACAAAGAGTATATGAAAACATGTATAAAATGGCATCAACTTTTTGCTTCTCGGTCCTAAGGCTTAGGGTCCAGAAGCTGGAAAGAACATGAGATTTTTTTTCAGGTATCTGTTAACATAATGGTTGCCAAGACTGTTGTAAAAATACTGTTGTAAAAATAATCTTACAGGAAGTGGCATGAACATAAGACCATGAGATGTGGAGAAAGTGATCAAAGGGTGGTCTCTTTTATATGAACTTTACTGACAGGCTATATTATTTAACTATGTAGATAGAAAGCATAATCATATTCTAAGGCTCTATAAAATCTTTCTATATAGTATCCTTGCACCAGATCCTGTAAATTCACTGAGAATTTATGATTCATGTTGGGCTGATTTGACTGAAAACAGTGGGAACAGCAATGGAAAACACCCTAGGCCGTATCACGCTGTCTGTATTACCATCTGACTTCATGGGGCTCAGAGGAGAAGAGGAGAGAAAAGTCATGATATTTGTTCCCCTGCCCCTTCCTGCCAGGCAGTGCTTTGTGTCCCTCTTAAGTCTGCCCACAGCTCCCTCCCCATGGCCGACGAGTCCTAGAGTCCTAGACATGGTACCAGTTTCCCGTTGTTAAGTGAGGTGCTTCACCCTCCAGCTGCTGAGCTCTGCCAACACCTCTGTAAATAGTCCCTTCAATTTCCCTTTTGAGTGTGCTGCCATTGCCTGCCGCAGAACCCTGACTAATACATTGGAAAGGGAATTTTCAGAAAAGGTAGAATCATGACTCCATGCAGCTGTAAAATGAACATGTCATCATCACGTTGCATACTTTAAATAGCTTACAGTTTTGTCAGTTATACCTCAGTAAAGCTGAAAAAAAATAAAATAAAATGAACATGCCAAAAGATTAACATGTTGATTAAATGAGGGAATCAGAAAAGATGTTACAACCAGTTCAAAGGAGAACTCAAAAAACAGGAATAGGGAAATGAATTTGCAAAGGGCCGCAAAACTGGCTTTTTTCCCTTAGGAATCGGGAACCCTCCACCTGACAGAATTTATTTGCATGGATATAGGCAAGAATTATTTGCATTATTGGGGCTGGCTCCGTGGCCGAGTGGTTACGTTCGTGCGCTCCGCTGCAGCGGCCCGGGGTTCGGATCCTGGGCACGGACATGGCACCGCTGGTCAGGCCAGGTTGAGGCGGCGTCCCACATCCCACAACTAGAAGGACCTGCAACTAAGATATACAACTATATATGGGGGTGGGGGGGGGGCGGTTGGGAAGATAAAGCAGGAAAAAAAAAAAGATTGGCAACAGTTGTTAGCTCGGGTGCCAATCTAAAAAAAAAAAAGGAATTATTTGCATTATCAGTTATCTACAATTTACAGAGTTATAAATAGTTCAAAGACAGTGAATCAGTATCAGACACCCTAGAAGGTTGTGCTCAAGATGATGCATTGTATTCCCCTGAAACAATTTTTCCTTACGTGCATTTGCCTTCTCTCTTTAAGGAGTGCTGTCCTTGAGTCATTACTTGTGCAATGATGTGGAGGCCATCCTATTCAGCAGGATTTGTTTTAGGGAAAACACCGTATTTATCTGCAGGAATTGAGAGAGATCCGCAGGGAAAGCTCACAGAACAACTCTGCAGGAAGCCAGGAGAGGAATTCCCTGTGTGGAGCCGAGGGGAAGGGAGGTGGCAGATGATTACAAAGGCTGTTTCACAATGAGAGCACTCCCTGTAACCCTCAGAGAAGTTTACTAAAAAAAGAAAAAGAAAAAGATTGTTGAGACTGAATCTTTTGTGCCTTTGTGCCACTTGGTGAAGAAGATGAATTTTGCATGAGAATTGGAGCCAATGGGAACGGTATTGGCACACAAGGAGCCTAAGTATTGTTAGCTAGGGGGGGATGAGGGGGACTCTGAGGTTGCAAACCCTTAAGAATTTACAGACATGGACAGGGGGAACTCTGGACTTGGACAAACTGGAATTGGCGATTGGAGCCTAGGTCTCTGAGGGGCGAGAAGTCTCCTGCTGATGTCTGAATTATACATGTCATCAGCAAAGTTCAAGTTGTTCTCTTTTTAAAATTTTGTTGGGGTGGGGAGATGCAAATTTCTAGTTTCACCGCCAATTTTCCTTTATTTCTTCCATTTCATTTCTTCTTAGGTTCGTAGCTGTCTGCTTCTGGGGTTCATTCATTCAATAAATAAGTGTTTCTTTAGACATGCTATGTGCTGGGCAAACACTATTTTAGGTTCTGGGGATACAGCAGTGAACAAGATGTCCAGGTCCTCGCTCTCATGGGACTTCTAAGGGGAAGAGACAGATGGTAAATAAATGCATAAGATTATCCCAGAGAGTGCTAAAGCCTGCAAAGATTAAAAAAACAGTACTGTTATAGATTGTGTATATGTGTGTGTGTGTTGTATGGAGGTTACTTCACAGGGGAGGTCAGCAAAAGCCACCAGAGGTTAAGACCTTAAGAGGCCTGATGAATAAATGAAAAGCA